AAATAAAACATGTCTTTAAAATGTTTAATTAGATAAAAATAAATTTTAATATACTACTTAAACTGTGTTATATTTTTAATGAATACAATATGTTTAATATAATATTACATTACAATTATACCAAAAATTAATAAGTTTTAGTTATGAAAGAATAAATAGGTATATTAAAAATGTTTATATGTATTTAAGGTAAAGGTAATTAAGTGTAGTTTTATGAGAAATACGTCTGTAACATGAATTACGATAATTATAAGTATATAATAGTAAAAACTGCATTTAATTTGAAATATTTAAATTCTAATTATTTTTTTCTCCATTATAACACTATTAAAGGCTGTATAGACAAATCAATCATTTCTCACCACCAGAACTAGATATACAGGTTGCCAGGAAATAGTGTATAATCAAGTAAGTCTTAATCATCTGCTGATAATGCTAACATGGTTCGTGTTGCACAAGAGACTTGAGAAACTCTTGCAAGACCAAGACTCTTGCAAGAAATTCAAGACCAGACTTTCAAAATTTCTTGTCTTGAATTTCAAGACAAGACGAGACTTTAATATACAAGAAATTTCAAGAGTCTTGCAAGATTTCTTGAAAGTTAGAAATGATACATTTTTTTTAGTGATAATTAGGTCTTTGCGCAAGTTACGCCGGGTTTATACAACATTTACATAGTCGTAATCACAATCATAGTCATAATCATAACAGTTAAACTATCCACTTCTTATAAACCTGTTGACATCTACCATGAACATCTACCATTAGCCTTTAATTATGTTACCCAACTTTACTGATATAAAAATTATGATTATGAAAATGTTCTATAAACGCATATTAAAATTGCGTTGTGATTATGATGATGATTAAGACTGTGATTATGATTACGACTTATGCAAATGTTGTATAAAACCGGCATTAATATTGACCAGTGTTCATTTTTTTTTCTATCATACCCAGTGTTTTAGAGTTGAGAATGAAATAAAATAACGGTAAGGGTTCGGACTCGGTTTCACTATCGACACTTATATTATTTATACTGCTCATATTTCATATTAAAACTTTTTTTGGTAGTGAGTAATATTTAGAAAGTTAACTCACAAGGTGTACGAAATAATAACCCAAAACCCATAAATCGAATTTTGTATACGACGCTTTCTATGAAATAAAATATAGAAATATTATTACCTTTTTGTTAGAATGTAAAATTTTTCAAGACAAGAAATTTCAAGAGTCTTGCAAGAGCAGACAAGACTTTGCCATTCAAGAAATCTGCAAGACAAGGCTTTGAAAATAACTTGTCTTGAATTTCAAGACAATACAAGAAATTGATTTTCAAGACAAGAATTCTTGTCTTGTGCAACACTAAACATGGTTAACGAAACGCGCGTCCAGTGTAAAAGTAAAACTGTTTTGGTGTATTGTGGTGATTTAGTGTTTTATTTTGAAAATGAAGAGTGTAAATTTTGAATTTATATAACAGCTACCTAAATTTTAGTTGACCTTATATAGCCTGATATTTAATTACAGTAACAATTGTATGTTAAACCAAATTAAAATTTGACTCGAAAAGTTATACAGGATGAGACAAAATTAATATGAAACCATTAGTCACTTTTAAAAGCAAGTTACTCCTTTATTTTAAATGGAACACCCAATATATTTTTCCGGTGTTCAATGGGGAATTATATATCTTCAAAATATTATAAGGTTGCCTACCCCTCAGACAAAGATTTTCCCAGATATTTTAATTTTTTTGATTTTGCGTCAGTAAATCTTTATTATTTGAAAAAATCTAGGTGGCTGTGTGATATACCTTTTGTTAATTTAACAATAATTAAAGATTGTAGAGTAAAATACTCAAGGGTAATAAAAAGATACGCGTTTAAAACATATTTTAATTATTACAGTTTTGTAAACACTGTCTTTAACATATCTCCATAAAAAAAAACAGACTAGATAAAATCAGGAGCATTAAAGTATTCTATTAATTGGTGAATGCACACTGCATTCACCAACTAATAGAATCATATCAATTCTCTTTGATGTAGGATAAGTTTGCATTTTCGGCAAATTTCTGAGAATTTTTTTTGTTTTAACTGTCAGAAAATGCATACAAAATGATAACTAGTTGCTAAAGTTGAACTAATTAGACAGCTATGTTGAAGTAACGTCAGACATATCACAGCCACCTAGATTTTATCAAATAATAAAGATCTACTCAGATCAAATCATGTAAATGAAAATATCTAGGAAAATCTTTGTTTGAGGGGTAGGCAACCTTTGTAGTATTTTGAAGAGACATGAAGTCTCCATTGAATATCGAAATAATATATTGGGTGTTCCATTTACAATAAGAGAGTAGCATGCTTTTAAATGAGACTAATGTTCGATATTAATTTTGTCTCACCCTGTATAACTTTTTGAATCAAGTTTTAATTTGATTTTAAGTACAATAGTTAATTTAACTACATATTAGGCTATACCGGGTAAATTACAATTTACGTAGCTTTTATTGTAATTTAAAAATAATAATTGTTCTTTATTTCTAGAAAATATTAAATATGTCAAACACCTTACATTTTAGTCATATACTATTCTTATAAAACACACCTTTATTTTTCGCCCAGAATCCGAAAATCAATTAATATATAGAGTGTTCCGTTACAAAAAAACAACGAAAACGAAAATTTCATTTCAATACAAACTGTCGTTCTCATTGGAGCCTCTGCGGCGTATGAGAAGCGCCACCTTGTATAATTAAATCAACTTTTTGGAGATACCCTGTACGCTAGTATTATTAAAATGACTATAGATTAAAGATAAATAGTGGTAAGTCTGACTCATTTCAATTTTTAGGCTGTTATCAAACTGAAATTACTGAATATTGGCTTTCCTCGCTGTTAATATAACAATCAAAATTATATTATTTTTTTTTATCTCCCATGACATAATATTTATGATATTTTTACTGAATTTATCTTTCTTTTTTTTAATTAATTTAGCTGATTATCAACACAAATATAGGTCCCTTTTGCCTTATTTTTTCATTAAGTAAATGTTAGGCAGAAGTTATTAAAATTTTATGTAAATATTTTCTCATTTTTTCACAGTTGATTTGGACACGTCCATAACATAAATTTCTAGATTTATTCTGAAACAAACAAAAAAAATTGGCAGCTGAACTCGCCGTTCTAAAAATGAGACTATGATAAAAATAATTTGAGAGATCCACCTAAATATACAGAGTATTGTGTTTATATTTAGACATTAAAAATACACAAAATTATCTATCATCTATTTATACAGTTGGTCCAAACATATTCTGCAGATAAAAATAATTAAACAATTTTTTATAAATGTATGACCTAAAATGCTTCGTTTCGGAGATACAGGGTGTAGAAGTTTCATTTGTATTTTTCAAATAATTTCTAAACTAACGACGTTATTTGGGTGAAAATTAGTGCCTGGGTGCTTTTTGACATGAGAAATATGATTTCTATGTCAATATGACTCCTACTTATAGAGGGTGCCACCTACATACTTTTTAACTGATTTAAAGAGTAATAACTTTTCGTCCGTACCTGTATAAAACTTCTGAGTAAAAAAATATATATTTCCACCATTTTTTATGTAAAAAATGTCTCTTGGTAAAAATCGCTGTGAGTAATGGTTCTCGAGATATTTGGAATCGAAATAATCAATACATGTCATTATTGACATAAATTAAACATGTTGACTACATAATTATTAGACTGAAATAATAAATTTTGAAATGCTTTTTTGCCAAAAGTTCAATGGAAACTGTTTAGCACAACTTTTTCAAAGAAAAATTTATGATTAATTTAAAAAAATAAAAAGTTCATGTATCTAGCTATTGGCGAATTTTCCCGATTAGAACTCTGACCACCCTGTATATAAAATATAAAACAAAAAAGAATTGATACATTTTGATTGGTTTTTGTTGGTTATTGACATTGACAATGAACAACTTACCTTCTGTATCAGAATCATCATCCAAGTCACTGTCAGAAGAAGAACTTGTAGTGATTGGACCATCCTTATCCCTTTTTTTCGTCTCATTTTGTTCTTTTGTCACTGAATTTACCGAAAAATTAGTTCTAAACTGCCGCACCACTTGAATTTCAATCGGCTGCAATGAAAAAATATTAACGATAAATTTTTGAACATAAATAAACATAAACAAAAGAAACCTTACAAAACGTCAACTGAATTGTTAATAAGCCTACTAGATTAATAATATACGTTCGTTTTATCAATATGAATTTTAAAAATAATGTAAATACCTAGTCCTGGCAAATTTCTTTGTTAAAATTTAAAAACATACATTTCTTCATCCCCTGGTAAATAAATGTATTAAAATCCGCATTATCCTAACCTCAATTTACAATAGAAAATACGAAAAATCATAAATTAACGTCGAAATGTTTGCCCTATTGTTGTTAAATGTTGGGTCAATAAATTATAAGTTAAACGTTAATGTGGTCACATTTTCTAATATACGTTATAGTCGCTTAAAAAAGATTTTATAAAAATACCGAATTACATGCTAACAGCATGTGGGACGTTGTTATTAATTGAATTGACTTAAAGTATACTTACTTTATTTATAGAGACACTATTAATTAACGGAGAATATTTAGAAATAACGAAATGCTCGTTGTTTAACAATAGACGAGCGCGACACAGCACCCTAAATATCGCCATTTTCCCGACTGACAGAGAATCTGGAAGATAAACCGGCCGCAATTCTGCCAAATTATTTCGCTCTACCTGCTGCTGTTTATGCGCAGATCAATAAATCAATTAAGAAATGTATCATATTGATTGTAATCCGAATTTTGATCAAAATCAACAAGTTCTATTATTTCTGGTCGTTATAGTTTTTCAAAATTTCCTAAAAATTAGACATTTTTAATTCTTTACGTCAGGCAACCAACAATTCACCTCCAAAATTTCTGTAAAAGAAGAATTCTGTTTTTCTGTTTCTAACCTACAAAACTCTCTGTCAAAAAAGATTGACGGCTAATTTTTTGGAGAATTTCAAATCTAACGGTAAGATTCTTGTTTTCTATTCGAATTTATCGTAATTAAAAGATATTTCAGATGGAACCCATGACATTAGGCAGTGCTCCTTCCAGTCCTTCGTCTCCGGGCATTAATCCGAACTTTTTACCCGGTTTTTTGATAGGTGATATACCTCCACAAACTCCAAACCCAAGCGCCTCACCAGGTAGAAATAAAACTCCGAGCAGCTTCAAATCGAATTCGAACATTAACGAACCGAAAACACTGAGACAGAAACTGTTTAATCAGTCTCTAACAGCTACTCCAGCCAGTCCTGCTCCTTTTATACCAGTAAACGAAAAAGTAGGCCCTCCTAAGACCAGTTTGTTCGATACCATAGATGCCCCGTCTAAGAAAACTCCGATTTTGAGCAGTACCGTGGCCCATTTTAATGATTCTACCGTGTTTAATGAGAGTATTTCAAGAATACATCCTGAAGAAAGCTTGAATGTTAGTAGGAACTTTAGTAGTTCGAGATTGGAGAAGATCGACACTCACTGGGTTACAGTGTTCGGTTTTCCGCCTAGCGTTCTAAATATAGTGTTGTCACAACTGTCAAACTGTGGTGTGATAATAGATAAACGAGTTCCATCACAAGGGAATTGGGTACATGTTAAATTCAACAATTTAAGTGAAGTAGCAAGGGCATTGTCTTTGAACGGTAAATGTTTGAATAACAGTGTGATGATAGGTGTCCAGTTGCATTATGACAGGGAAAATAAAGAGAATAGTACAATGTTTACGTCTCCTGCCAGAGCAAGATCCTTAAGGCACTCATTTGTGTCACCACAAGTATCAAATTCAGTGATCTCTCCACAGAATGTTCCTCAAAAATCTACTGGTATTGTTACAAAGGCCATGGAGTATGTTTTCGGTTGGTGATTATGTTTTTAATGTTATTTTATTATGTATACAAATATTTGTCAATTTATTTTACAATTTTATTATTGAATTAAAGCATTACTTAATAAAGTTTTCTTTATTACAAACCATAACCTTAAAAATACAAAAATATACACATTATTTTTACTGGTATTTATTAGAAATTATTTTTAAGAACATTATAAGGATTCTAGCAAGATATTTTACAGTATCGTTTAATCTTACAGTACCTATAACAAATTTAAAAAAATTATAATAAATATAAAAATTACTTACAGTCACTCTACAGTAATTACATTTAATAAATTATTCTACAGTATATATTTGCAAACATCTAATTTCTCCAAATATACCTTAAAAATTCTTAAAACAGAAAAAGACAGTTTATATAAAAAACTACTGCTTACTTTTAATAATATATATCTGTTAATATCATAAACACCAAACAGTAGTATACTTAACTATTTGTAGACAGTTTATTCAATTTTATTCAACTCTTCAGTAATATTCACTTAAACCCTTAGTTTGCTATGTCCAAATTTTGTGAAAGGTTCTGCCCATATATTATTCGTCTATAAATAGACAAAATCGAACATCATTTGGGATCGGAGACCGTAGCCTTAACCAAATCAGTCATTTTAGGATATTTTACGTTTTTCTTGTTCAGCTTATCCTGAGCCCACAGGATCAATCTAAGTAAAGTTGATATTTTAGGCGATGTAGTCTCTTGATGCTCCATTTTCAGAATTGCAGCATTGACATCACTGGCAATCTACAAGAAAAATATGTGATTAAGTACCTATATGTAAGAAAAAAATAATAATCTACCTTTTGGCGATGAGAAGGTGCTAAAAGATCTGCAAACGGACTATTCAAAGGATCTTCAAAAGCTAACAAAGCAATAGTTCTTTCAATCTCATTAAGTACACATGGATCTTCCTCTCCTGCTTCGCTAAGATGACTCTGTGCAAAGGCCAAAGCCTCTTCCACCCTGTTACTCTTTATCAGTTCGATTAAGTGTAATTGCTAAAAGAAAAAATATAAACATGCTACTCTAACCTTATATACACAAAAACAAACATACTTGAAGATGAAAATACAAGTATCTGTCGTTATCTAACAGCTCAGAATGCAATTGGTTGATTAAAGTAGTTGCTTCTTCGATCCTACCGTTCATGATGGCATCTCTGATACGCATCCGGTCATCCAGAGAGTGCAAATTCACTGTCGGTGCCACTCCAGACTCTTGCTGGAACTTCTCGGCCGCCTCCTTGAAACCCTCTGTACACGAAACGTTGTATAACATTATTTGGCGTTTTAAAAACATACTTTGGGAATGAAACGAACAGTAAACGTACCTGTGACGAGATAGTTCATAATTAGTTTGTTCATGTTACTGCGACCTACTGCGTCGTTATCTTCGAGCAGTTTGATCCAGTCTTCCTTTGTTGTGATTTCGTGCTTCTCCGTGCTCATTGTTTGTAACGGAAAGTGTTTATTTTAACGATATAAATAATATTTACCAAGGATTAGTGTGTGACATGCTAAAAACTTGAAAAATATTGACAAATTAACACACTTGTCAAAATCTTCTTCGTTTTGATAAAGCTGGCGCCAGAGGCTGGCGCGAACTATCGCGAACCAAGGGTGCGTACTACCATTTTAGGGGGAAGTCATTGCGGTTTTCGGTATCTGTGGTTAGAGTAGTTTAAAACCACGTTAATAGATGGCGGAACAGGGATTATTTTTGCGGGAACTGCAGGTTTTTACATATAAAATGTTTGAAAAAGTAAATAACTTCTTAAAAACTGTAAGTATCTTTAATAAAAAATGGTTATATACCTCTCAGTTAACTAATAATAGTTAATTTCCTTGGTAACTTGGTAATCAATAGTTTTTTTCAGGTATTTTTTGAAATGAAATAATGAAAACAATGCAGAGTTAAATTTTACTTTTAATATTCTACCATATAATTAAATCAAAATTAAATAAAGAAACTGGATAATCATTAGACATTTAACCTGATCCCATTCACCAGGAGAAGTTTAAATTTTAGATGCTGTCTACGGTAAATCGTAAGATCTATTATATATCTAGCCCTCAATTTGTTACAATCTTTCACAAAAACACTTAAAAACTGTAATTGTATGCATTGAACACATTATTAATACTGCTGTAATAATATGAGGACAATTTAAACAGGAGTATTTGGATTAATCATAAATTATATAAAGAAAAATTACGTTTTATCAAAAACTTTTTATTTTGTAACAAAAACTAAATACAAAAGTATAGAAATATCACGTATATAGTTAAAAATATTGCCTACAAGTTTGGATAGCAAGCCTGGTCAGCTATTCCACACAAATTCGATACTATAGCCAGCTAGAAGTACCCAGATTCGCCACATCCAGATCCCCAGGAGTTCTTCACCAGCCAATAATCCAGTCCATTCTCATTTCCATACCCTACAGCCAATACTCCGTGGTTGATTGAGTCTGAACAGGCCGAATTGATCACTCCACCTCCATAACTTTGCAAGAGATCAGCGTTGAGGGCTACAGAAACAGGACCAACGTTTCCAATAGCGTTTTTCAAGTCGTTTTCGTCTTTGTATCCGATTTCTGTGTATCCAGAGATCTGGAAATAGTTCGGGAAGGATGAGCAAGTGGTTTTGGTTGCTTGGTAAGAGTCTTCGGTGGTGATGCCGTGGTCTCTGACGTAGTCCAGTGCGCTTTGGACTATTGCTGTCATAATATGAGGATAATTTAAACAGGAGTGTTTGGATTAATCATAAATTATATAAAAGAAAATTACGTTTTATCAAAAACTTTTTATTTTATAACAAAAACTAAATACAAAAGTATAGAAATATCACGTATAGAGTTAAAAATATTGTCTACAAGTTTGGATAGCAAGCCTGGTCAGCTATTCCGCACAAATTCGATCCTATAGCCAGCTTGAAGTACCCAGATTCACCCCATCCAGATCCCCAGGAATTCTTCACCAGCCAGTAATCCAATCCATTCTCATTACCATACCCTACAGCCAACACTCCGTGGTTGATAGAGTCTGAACAAGCCGAATTGATCACTCCACCTCCATAACTTTGCAAGAGATCGGCGTTGAGGGCTACAGAAACAGGACCAACGTTTCCAACACGTTCTTCAAGTCGTTTTCGTCTTTGTATCCGATTTCTGTGTAGCCAGAGATCTGGAAATAGTTCGGGTAGGATGAGCATGTGGTTTGGGTTGCTTGGTAAGGGTCCTGGTCCTCCGTGGTGATGCCGTGGTCTCTGACGTAGTCCAGTGCGCTTTGGACTATCCCACCGTTGCACGCGTCGCAGCTGTAGCCGTTGTTTCCTGTTGCGCAGTCCATGAGCTGCTGCTCGCTGAAGGAAAGGAGTTGGCCGTTGCGTATGGCATAAGCACCTTCCAGTGTTCCCGTCTGTAAATTAAAGATAATGATAGTGTATTAACAACTTAACTGTGTAGGAAACGGTTTCATTACAGTCAAGAGGAGATAAATTTTGATGTGATTTTGTTTCATTTTGTATGTCATTCTTCTCTTTTTTCGGGTAATATATCTTTCAAAATACCATATGATAGATTAAAAACGGTGTCAGCGATGGCTATGAAATGAAGATCGCTGTCATCTATACTAATATATAAAATCCTTAAGTGACTGACTCAATGATTAATCATGATCCTGCTCAAACCACTCAACGTAAGAAGCTCAGTTTTGGCATACAGGTTGATTCTAGGGTGTAGAGGTTCGATAAGAAGGGATTTTTCGAAATTCCAGTTCCAAGGGTGTGAAACCACCCCTCAAATATTACAATATTTTTCATTTAAAAAACGGTCAAGTTTCTGAAAAAACGCTTAAATAAACACGTATATTTTATTTTGTTTTTTTACATATTTTAGGATTTTTTAAAAATGTATACAGGGTGTTTCGAAAAATCTTGTCATTGACTAATTACGATCCTGCTTAAAACGCTTGACGTAAAAAGCTGATTTTTGGAAAACGGATTGAGTTTAGGGTGTAGAGGTTCGATAAGAAGGGATTTTTCAAAACTCGAATTCTAAGAGGGTAAAACCACCCCTCAAATATTAGAAAAAATTTTATTTAAAAACCGGTGAGTTTTTCGGAAAAACTTTTAAACACGTATATTTTATTTTGTTGTTTTGCATAATTTAAGATTTTTTAAAAATTTATACCGGGTGTTTCACAAAATATGACCACTGAGTAATCACGATTCTGCTTAAACTGCTTGACGTTTAAAGCTGATTTTTGGCAAACAGATTGACTGTGGGGTGTAGAGGTTCGATAAGGAGGGGTTTCTCGAATCTCAAATTCCAAAAGGGTGAAAACGCCCCTCAAATATTACAATATTTGTTATTTAAAAAACGGTTAGTCTTTCGGGAAAACGCTTGGACACGCATAACTTGTTTTGTTTTTTTACATACCTATTTTGAATTTTTTTAAAAAATCATACAGGGTGTTCCAAATAGTTGATTGACGTAAAAAGGTTATTTTTTGCAAACGGATTTTTCGAAAGTCAAATTCCAACGAGATTAATCTACTCCTCAAATATTACCAAGTTATATAATAATATCGCCATATTGTTTTTTCTCATGCTGACATAAATGTGAGAAAATTTTATCCAGTTTGTATGTTAATGGCAATTCTTGCTTTGCTTTATCATCACCATTACAAATGATTAATTCGACGCGAACGAAGTCGCGGGTACACGCTAGTAGAGTACTATAGGAAGAAGCAGGATGCTAGAGAGAAAATCATGTGAATTTAACATTAGAACGAAGGTGAAAATAATAATGATTTTATTGATGTAGCTGAGTATTTTTGAGATGAGAAAGTCTTACCGCACTAAAACTCCAACATGCCCCGCAAGATGCTTGGTTTTTCACTTCTGTCACTACTCCAGAATTTCTCCAGTCAATGCTGTCAGGGGTACCGACAAATTTCGACGAATCATGTAACACTGTTGCCTTTCCGGTTCTATTGTACGGTTTCAATGTCAATGTTGCCTTGAATTCCTCCTCGGTCATGTCGGAAAACTGATTGACAACTTTGTACCATGAAACTAAACCTTGTTTGTACAGTGTGTTGTGTTCTTCGATGGATGCCAGGTTTTTGGTGAAGATCTGGTAGCGTGCGGAGTGTTCTTTGGAGTTGAGGTAGTTTTTTCCATATTTTTCCTGAGATAAAGAAAGTGAATAAGTCTCTGGGGTTTTCAAAGTGTTATATAATGATGTTATGCTTGTTATAGCTTTTTTTCTACAAACGAAAATTGTATTTAAGGTTTAATAATCTCATTTCTTTTATTAAATATTCTTTAAACAATTTTGTAAAATTGCATTTATTTGTGGAACTATACAAAAATATTAGAATTTTAAACATTGTAAATTTACTTTTTTTCAGTGTAGACAAAACGACAGTTTGTTTGATACGTTTTGACTGACAGGTAAAGCGTTATGTGTAGATGGGACTTTATACATGTCTGTGGATCAGAACAAATCTTCTTAATTTAACATTTCTATTTACCTTAAATTGGTTCCATATCTCCTCTGATGCGTTTGCAGCCAAGAAGAGGCAAACCAAAATTCCCACTACGGCTTTCATTGTTTATAACTGTTAACATAAATATAATTATTACAGAAAATTAGTATACTGGTCATATCATTTTTATATATTTAATTAAACAATATTGGACTGGACTAACAAAGGCTTAAAAATACACTTCCCCAATAAATTAACGCACCACAAAAAAATAACCAAAAATTTAAGTTAAGTTTTTGTCAAAACCACTTATCCGATTTGGACGATTTTTTTTTGAATGATAAGTTATTCTTTCCACAATGTTGCTATACTAACTGTATTTTGATAGGAACCCTTTTTATACTAATACCGGGTGTAGCAATTATAACGTGTTTTTTTTAATAAAATTTATGACACCCTGTAGAGTTCATCAGTTACAGTATCAAGTTAAAATTGAAATCACATTTTAACCTTATCTTTTTTTTGACATTTTGCTTTTTTATTTACTCCATTATCTTCCTTATTACACGAGAAACAACATTTTATAGGATGATATTATTTAATATTGGTTTTAATTAACATTTTTCCATTTTACACACTAATGTAAGTAGCAGGCTATGGAAAAACACGGATTACCAGTAAATGTCAAATAGAGATACTTGTTGTCAGTATCAGTAGTTTTCGTCCTTTTATTATATCAAAAATATGCAACGTGCACGTGAAACAAGAAATCTTACTGGCGAAGAATGTGCTCAAGCATTAATATTGTCTGAGGAAGGTTGGAGCTACCGAAGAATTGGTGAACGATTTAATGTAACTCACTCAACCATTTCACGAGTTATACAACGGTATAGAGATTCTGGGAGTAATTGTCGCAGGCCGGGACAAGGCAGGAATCGAAGAACCAATCCGATTCAGGAACGTTTTTTAAAACTCTCAACATTAAGACAACGTTTCGTAACAGCTCGGATTCTTCAAACTCAGCTTAGAGATACTAATGGTCTGCAAGTTTGCACAGAAACTAGCATCTCTATTTGACATTTACTGGTAATCCGTGTTTTTCCATAGCCTGCTACTTACTTTAGTGAGTAAAATGGAAAAATGTCAATTAAAACCAATATTAAATCATGCCATCCTATAAAATGTTGTTTCTCGTGTAATAAGGAAGATAATGGAGTAAATAAAAAAACAAAATGTAAAAAAAGATAAGGCTAAAATGTGATTTCAATTTTAACTTGATACTGTAACTGATCAACTCTAAAGCGTGTCATAAATTTTATTAAAAAAGAACACGTTATAATTGCTACAACCGGTATTAGTATAAAAAGGGTTCCTATCAGAATACAGTTAGTATAGCAACATTGTGGAAAGAATAACTTATCATTCAAAAAAATCATCCAAATCGGATAAGTGGTTTTGACAAAAACTTAACTTAAACTTTTGGTTATTTTTTTGTAGTGCGTTAATTTATTGGGGAAGTGTAGATGGAGAATAACTTAACTATCTAAGATTCGCTGATGACAGTCCTAATTGCCAGTAGTCCTGAAGAACTACAAGCACAAATTAACGAACTAAATACAGCCAGCAACAAAGTAGGTCTCAAAATTTTTATTTCGCAAAATGTAAAGTACTGTACAATGACTTAGTATACAGAAAAGACATTCTAATAAATAACACAACACTGGAAATAGTAGAAGAACATATATTTGGAACAACAGCTCGGGACATACAGCTCGGGATCAACATAAGCCGAATGGACGAGGGAAGAATAGTAAGGTCAGCTCGAGACAAATCATCACTGGGAAAAAGAAGTACGGGAAGGCCAAGAAAAAGATGGTGTGATAACCTTACCATCGATTGAAACTGTAGGCATTATGTGAAGAATGAACAGGCAATCTGTCTAATATAGAGTAGGAAGAAAAAGAAAAACTAATACACAGCGCGGGGATCACTACTACTAGAAATCAACAGAAGAATTATGTTAGCATGGAGTACTTATGGAAGAAACTCAAGCATATTCAAATCCAGAATGCTACTTTATTTAAAGAAGAAAACATTTGACCAATGTGTCTGACCTACCAGATGCATGCATGCCAAAACCTGAACGCTTAAAACGGACACTATAAGGAAAATGCAGGTCACAATTCGCTCAATAGAACGAAATATGCTGGGAATAACCAAAATAGACCGTAAAAGAATAGAGTGAATACAATAAAAGACCCAGGTAATGGATAGTCATCCACAGAATCAAATCCCTCAAGTGGCATTGGGTAGGACACGTAGCAAGAAGGATGGACTACAAAAATTACAGCATCGTACCCACGAGGAATTAAGAGACCTAGAAGAAGACGGAACCTGAGATGGGATTATGATATTATGAAATTAGCAGGGATAACTTGGGCCAACAATAGACAACAATGGGCCCATCTACAAAGAGAGTATCTAAATATGTGAGAAAGGCTATACTATAATTGAAAATGGTTGAATAAGCTGAAAATTATGATGATGATGATGAAACCCTTATGAAACCTAAGTCAAGATTTTTATATTAAGATATCGTAAAATAGATCTTACCTATGTTTATCCCCTAATCACAGAATATCTGATGCCAGTTGTATAATGCAAGTGCCTTTTATATGAATTATTTTTACCTTATCGGTAGCCAATAATACTAATTAATGGTTTTGTTTATTTGTTTTGTCGTAAATCCCATGTTTTTCAATATTTTTAAGTACCTTCTGTATTCTAAATAAAAATTGAAATTAGATCGTATATATCCGATAAGTTTGTTTTCGTTTTAGTATATCTAATAATAGTTTGACAAAATGACACCTTCGTATTGAACCACTATATACAATACTTTTTTTTTCTGTCCATGTTCTTGGAGAGGGTATGGAAAGGAATATATCAAAAATAGAAACAAAAAGTAAAATGCAGATTGTCGTGCATTCCAAGGGTGGCAACACAAATTTAAAAAAATGTTGGATATGGAAGGGAAGGGAAACGGAACGGATAGTGTGCATTGTCCTATTAATTTACATGATATGTAGAATGTAGAATGTTTAGGAAAGGAGTTAATCACCGCTACCTTACAGATCTATTGTGTGTTCCCCTTTCTTGAGTTATAATGAGTTATAACTCATCATACAGTCTCAAGGCTTTAACAAAAGCCAGTATCTGAGACTGCTCTACAATGGCCGGCTCTCCATTCTCGACATCAGCCCACGCAGTGGTTCCCCATATTTTGTTGCCTTCAAATAAATTGCCATAAACTAATAATATTTAGGTTTAATTAAGTGCAAAAAAGAAAAAACAGTTCTTTTTATCTTCTTTTCGAACGTCCATTACAGAAAAGGCAACAGCTTTTATCAATTTTAATAAAATGAGTAATGAATTGGCGTTATCTGAAAACTGTTTATGTCAGCTTGATACCAGTAGCAAAAATGTGACAATGTGTAGCTTTGTTCGGGTTCTTGTTATTACTGATTCTGAACCGTCCTAGAACTCTGCAGCGCATGCGCAAATGAAATAACGTCGTCATATTTCCTTCTGCGCATACGCATCACAGTTCTAGGACGGTTCAGAATCGGTAATAAGAGAAACACGAAGTAAGTTATTATGTATCGTTTACAGGGGAATATAAGAAAAGTATTAGCAACAGTTTCATGCAAACGTTTTGAAATTAATATTTCTAAGTAATGACCTATCTGGGAACCACTGTGCAGCTGTACCAAAGTTCATGGCACGAATGGTCGTCGTCTCGGCGCACTCAGTGATAAGGTGTTCTGGTGTTTCCCCATAATCCCCACAGAATCTGCATTCGCCGTTGTTTCTCAGCTTTGGCCTACTGAGGCGTTCGTTGAAGAGACAGTGTCCTGTTAGAAACCCCTTGAGAATCAATTACATGATATAATATTTTATGTAAACGGAAGGGAGCTGATATCGAAGATACAGTGAGAATCAACCTTCAAGACGATGCACTATATTTGGATATGTCAGTTTAGGCACAATAAGCGCTTGTGGATGAAATTGAAGAGAATCTTTACTTTGATAGTTTTGGTTTTATTTACAATTATTATTTATGTTAGTTATTTACATCAAATCAAGGATATACAGGCAAATGTAGTCCAAGGCCAATTTAATTTCTGTCTTCTTAATGTAGACACTAAAGACTAAAGTATATGTTTACAGAGACTTTTTACTTTTTTAATCTAATCCGGTAGTATTCACTTAGACAAAAACATCTGGAAATTATATCGAAAAAAAAACTTGATTACACACTCAAGTAGGTACTTATAAAATTCAGAGTTAATTGAATATGTGAATTACTATATTGCTTAATTTTTCAAATAATATCTTGACAGCATTTTTCGTCTCCTTCAAAATTATAAAATCGCATATAGGTAATAAATAATTATTGCAACATAATACTTATTTACAATAATGTCTCACTAAATTAAAAACTAGGTACAGTAAATGTGTTTAATTTAGTTTTTTTTGGTTATTCCCAGCATATTTCGTTCCATTGAGCGTTGTGCGAGCTGCAGTTTCCTTATAATGTTCGTGTGTCCAGGTTTTGCATGCATATATCATGACTGGTAGTCCACATTGGTCGAATGTTTTCTACTTTAGATAAAGTGGCATTCTATATTTGAATATGATTGAATTTCTTCCATAAGTACTCCATGCTAACTTAATTTTTCTGTTGATTTCTAGTGGTAGAGATCTCGAGCTATATATTAGTTGTCCCTAATATATTTATATATACTCCTACTATTTTTAGCGTTGTGTTATTAATTAGAATTTCTTTCCTGTCTACTAGTTCGTTGTACATTACTTTAGTTTCTGCTAAATTCATTTTTAGACCCATTTTCTTGCTGGCTGTATTTTGTTCGTTAATTTGTGCTTATAGTTCGGCAGGACTATTGGAAATTAGGATTAGGACTATGTCATCAACGTATCTTAGATGGTTAAAGTTTTCTCCATCTATTTTTAATCATTTGTTGGTCCAGTCCAGTTGACTAACTTCTAGTTCAAAATATTATTTTTATTTAAAGATTTTCAGGGTAGAAAGCGCCTCTTTGAAAAATCTATTAAAAGAGGCAAGAATTCTTTTAGTCTTATTTTGACAAGTTTGGCACCAACAAGAACAAGATGAAACTTAAAGAAAATAAACCATTATACAGGGTGAAATACAATACATAAACTTCGGGCAGCATATTCTGCAGATAAAAATAAGTAGGTAAGAAAGTTCGTATAAATGTATGTCCTAAAATGGCTTAGTTTCGGAGACACATGGTGTTGAAGTTTCATTTTTATTTCGATTTTTTGCAAATAATTTCTGACGTAACGTCAATATTTGGATGAAAATTGGTATCTGGCAGTTTTTTGACATGAGAAATTTGATTTCGAGGTCAATATGACTCCTAATAGTAGGGGGCGCCACCTACATGTGTTTTAACTGTTTTGAAGAGTAATAACTTTTCGTCCGTACCTGTATAAAACTGCTGAATAAAAAAATATACATTTCCGTAACTTTCTACGTAAAAAATGTCTCTTGGTAAAAATCGTTACGAGCAACCGTTCTCAAGATATTTAGAATTGAAATAGTCAATACATGTCATTATTGACAAAACATATTGTTGCGGACCCGTGTGGACTCGACCTAACCTAACAATATGTCCCGCGCTCAGATGACCTTAACATCGCATTAAAGAATAGATACCGTAATGATTCATTCGAACGTTCAAGAAAAAACGTTTTGGTCAGCATGTTTGAACGCTCAATGATGACGGTGATAATGTGGAATTATGAGGCTCGCTGGCGATTTTTTCAAAACACGTAAACCGTCGTAATATTTTTCTCAGTACTACAGTACGGACGAATTGTGCTCAGGAAACCAGTTAAAAATAACTGCGGGTGGTGCCAGCAGGAATCATATTGACATCAAATCAAACTCCCAGACACAAATTTTCATCCAAATATTGACGTTACTTCAGAAATGATTTAGAAAATCGAAATAAAAGTGAAATTTCTACACCCTGTATCTCCGAAACTAAGCAGTTTAGGATATACAGGGTAAGGCCCATCGAAAACGTTCCGCAAGGCATAACGGCCAGGGTAATTTTTTTTCTTTCAGAAAATTCAAAAATACGTCAATTTTGTTTGTGAGGGGGACAACTTTTGCCCCAAAAATGATCTTCAACCCTCTAAGCGGGGGTGTCATCCCCCAACTTTTTTCAAATGGGAAGGGGGTTCAAGTGGTACCGCAATGAAAAGGGCTTTCTATTCTCTAGACTTTCCGGCTTCGTTTTTGAAAATCGGTCGAGTCATTGAGAAGATATGAAGGATTGAAATTTGAAAGTTCATTTAAACATTTATCAGAGTAAATGATAAGGATAAATTCGTTCGACCAATTTGCTGTTTTTTCTTATTATTTCTAGATGTTTACGCATTTCTTCACTTGCCACAAGGTTGAACAATCAGATGCGGTAGTTGCTAGATAGCTGTTCTGTGACTTGTGCGTTGAAGTTCTTCTCAATATCGTTAAACTTTTTAACAATTATGGTAGTCACTTGCAGAAAAAGTGGAAATAATCGAACTTTATTTTAAAAATAATGAATGTAGCAATCGGGTTGTGCAGATATTCAATGAACGCTATCCTGACAAACACCTTTATGGCAAAATTGTTCGCGAGTTACTAGAACAATTTCGCGACACTAGTTCCGTTATGAATAAAAAGAGGCAGAGGAAAAATCCTGTAGTAAATGAAGCTATGGAGGTATTCGTATTGGGCCAAGTTGCCATGGATAGTGCGCCGAGTACAAGAAAATTAGCCAATGAGACCGGCGTGAATCGTACAAGTGTCAAAAGGATATTAAAAAAACACCAAGTTCCACCCGTACAAAATTCAGTTGGTACAAGAACTCAACGAAGACAATTTTGATCCTCGCTTGCAATTTTGTGAAACTATGACTGAACGAGTGGCGAATGATAATAATTTCCTATTTAATGTGTTTTTCGGATGAGTGTACTTTCATTTTGAACGGTGTAGTTAATCGGCACAACTGTCGGTACTGTGCTGACGAATACAGGGTTTTTCACGAGGTGCACACACAAAACCCTCAGATAGTGAACGTGTGGGCTGGTATTTTTGGAAATTCAGTATGTCAGTTTAACGATATTGAGAAGAACTTTTAACGTACAAGTGACAGAACAGCTATCTAGCAACTACCGCACCTGATCGTCCAACCTTGTGGCAAGTGAAAAAATGCGTAAACATCTAGAAATAATAAGAAAAAACAGCAAATTGGTCGAAGGAATTTATCGTTATCATTTACTCTGATAAATGTTTAAATAAACTTTTCAAATTTCAATCCTTCATATTTTCTCAATGACTCGATCGATTTTCAAAAGCGAGGCGGTGAAATATAGAGAATAGAAAGCTCTTTTCATTGCGGCGCCACTTGACCCCCCTTCCCATTTAAAAAAAGTTGGGGGATGACACCCCCGCTTAGAGGGTTGAAGATTTTGCAATCATTTTTGGGGCAAAAGTTGCCCCCCTTACAAACAAAATTGACGTGTTTTTGAATTTTATGAAAAAAAATTACCCTGGCCGTTTTCGATGGGCTACCCTGTACATTTATACGAACTTTTTTACTTATTTTTAACTGCAGAATATGCTGCCGAAGTTTCCGGAATACAGTTCGGACCACCCTGTATATATTTTAATAAAATAATTAACAAAAGCTTGAAAATTATAAAAACAATTTCAAATTTTTTCAAAAACTTCCTAGGCACTTATTGTTGTTTTTATTATTTTTGATATTATAGATAGGTTAAAAAAAACTCATTTCGACTTTTTAATAATCAGTTTTATTTACATGAAAATTTAATAAAACAAATATTAAATAACAAAAAAATATACGTGTTCTGTGTTTATCTGTTTGCATATTATATGTATAGCCTTTCTTCTTTGTTTCTGCAAAATTACTACTTTTGTGGAGATACTTCATTAAGATAACTGTAAAGCTGTGGCAGTATATACAACAAATGTGAGATTATAGTAATAATAAAGCTATAAATAAACATTTTTATTTCATTTTTATTGTTTAAAACTTCTTTTTATTTATTTACATCGCATAAAACTGTTTATTTACATTCAGTCGAAATTGATTCAAGTAAAATGACAATTAAGCTCATGAATATGATAAATGAGCAAATGAAAAAGGCGTAATAGAAGGCGCAGAAATGTCATTTGTTTTCATGCAATCATATCCTACTAAAATATATTTTTAGAATAGAGTCATGTTATTACGATTTTTAAAATTTTTATAAATGTATTTTTAGGTAAAGATAGGATTTAGATAATATGAAATAAAAGGTGAATCTATACATAGTATCTATATTTTTGTGTATTTGTATTCCTTAAATGTCTACTATAGCTTACTAAATAAATTTATTGAATTTTATAACATCAACAAAATGTATCACATAAATTAGGCTTATTCTAAGAATTTTGTTTGTTTATTTATTTTTCTGTTTTGTTTTAATAAACAATTAGAAAATAATAATTAATAAACTTGCTAAGTACTTAATTGTAAATTATTATACAGAGCGTCACAAACATTATTAATATTTATTTTATTTAGGTAAAAATAAAAAAAAATCTTTAATTTTCCTAATTTTTGTGACAACCTGTATAAAAATTATTGACGTTTGACGTCCAAACAAATCAAATCTACAATAAATTTTGTGTGTTTTTATAAAATAGTAACAAAATTTCAAAATATACCGTTTCTGTAACCCCCTGTATACAGTGCTTATATTTTAACTCTGAACATAAGTTTTTTTGGTTAAATGTTTTGTTTTGTAAAGATAATAAAAAAGTCTTGTTATTATACCCAAAAATGTGTATGTTCCTAAAACGATTAAAAGCACTGTGTTTAAAAACAGGAACATACAGGGTGTCCCATTATTTCGTGGACCTAGAACTACTATTACTATTACTAGAACTACTATTATATTATTATATACCTAGAATTACTATTTTTGTAATTAAATTAAGTTTACTGGATACAATCTACCTCTTTACAAAAGTGCTTCGTTTTTCCGTTAGAGGGCATTAAAATTTAAAAAAGTTTTTTAAGATATTTTAAGAACCGTTATTTTTAAAAACCATTATTTGAATGAGATTTGAGGTCCCTATGAAATATCAAAATATAAAAACTAAAAAATGTTTATTAAAATAAATCAGCTATACTTAAATAGTTTAAACTTCATTAGACTTGAAGATTTCTTAATTTCCAACCTTAACTCCATCAAAATTGTGTATTTTTACAGTAATAGATTAAATTTTTCAAAAATAATTTTGTCAAAATAGTTGAAGAATTTAGGAATTTACCGAGTGGTTAAATTTAGCCGTGAATAACTTTTGAAGGAGTAGGTTTATCGAAAAATTGTAAGAGACATTTTTTGTAGAACGTTCAATTCTGTACAATGAATGTGAATATGTGATTGTCATGGCTGTGAGAGAACAAGATCGAGAGAAAAAAAATGATTTGCAAAAAGTGGCAAATTCCTATGTAATTTAAATGGGAAATAAATCGACTTTGGGGCACGGTTTATTATGAATATTAAGGGTTTACAATGGTCTGTTATTTTTTTTGGACAATAAACTAAAAATATAGAGGGCGTCGTGAGAGGAATGATCAACTTTGTAAAAAACGGACACCCTACTATGTATACAGGGTGCTACAAATTCGACGTACGAGTTACGATTAGTATCTCGGAAACCGAAATAGATATGAAGATGGTTAAATTGGGGCAAAGTTGCGCTTTGGGCTGTTCACAAGATGCCATTAAAAAAGTTTTCAAAATTTCAAGGATTGCTGAGTTTTTCGGAAAAAACGGATTTTTTTGAATATCAATTTTATTTTTTCCTGTCGTTACTTTTTAGAAAATCAAAAAACTACTTGCATATTTTCATAGCCACTTTATTAAGGCTATCTGATAGTATTTTTAGATTTTCAAATTAGCTGATAATTTGTGAGATACAGAGGCCAACTTAATTTTTTTAAATACGGACCTATTACCGGAAAATTAAGTTGACCTCTGTATCTCACAAATTATGAGCTAATTTGAAAATATAAAAATACCATCGGATAGCCCTAATAAAATGAGAATGTGCAATTAGTTTTTTGATTTTCAGAAAAGTAACAACAGAAAAAAATAAAATTGATTTTCAAAAAAATCCGTTTTTTCAAATTTCAGCAATCCTTGAAATTTTTAAAACTTTTTTGATGGCATCTTGGTGAACATCTCAAAGCGGCAACTTTGCCCCAATTTAACCATGTTCGAATCTATTACGGTTACCGAGATACCAATGCTTGTACCTCGAATTTGTAGCACCCTGTAGGCACATAAAATCTAGTATGCGCTAATAATAATCTAACGGAAAAATGCGGCAGTTTTTTATAGAAGTAAATGGGTTCTAATGAATGCATTTTGGTTCCAAAAATACGTAGGTAATAGTTCTATGTCCACGCAATACTAGAGCACCCTGTATATCTATACCATACTCAGTACAGAAAAAAAATGAACCACAATATCTTCTACAGATTACAATTATTACTATTCCTCAGATGATGTTCAACAGCATTGCAACTACTATTAAGGTTCCCGTTCTCATTTCCTGGTACTGTCAGCCACTGTCACAACGTCTGGTAGTCGTGGAGTAGACCGGTTGGCGTCTGGTACAAGGGTTGACCCATCCCTGCCGGGTTCAGAGGGGGGTAGGCGTTCAGTTGGGGGGGCAGCATGCCGGTGGGGTTGTAGGCGGCCATTTTGTGGGGGGTGGGCTCGGTGTCGCTCTCCGAACCGCTCGAGTCCATGGTGTGCTGCTTGTCTTGGTTCGGTTGGGTACTGGAAGAATAAAACAAAGAGAGAATTAGTTAGAACAAATACTCTTCAAATGTTTAGGTTATTACTGTTAATAATTATATAATAATAATATATAAAAAACAACCATTTAAATATACCGCGTTTCAAAAGTGGCTCACCCCCTATAACTTTTTTATTTTTTCAGATAAAAAAACGAGATTTGGTATGTTAGTATATGACTTAAATTAGGATTGATTGACGTATTCAATTGTTTTCGGTCACTTCCTGTTTTACCGGAAATGACTACAACTTTGGATTTTTAAATGGCACTCTTGGTATTTTTTTACTTTATTCGATATCAAATGACACTCTGGAAATAGAATGACATATCATATGTCGACTTTTGACATTTTCGCTTAAAACAAAAGGAGTCTTGGAAAAATAGATTTGATCGTCTAATGTTTTTAGTGTCTTGTTCTGACCGGTTAAAAGATGACCATATCGTATTTTTAATATTAACTCTATTTTTTCAAATGGAACGAGGGTGGCTCATTAGCATATTTGGAAAAAGTATTTTTTTAAGAATACTTTGATAACACACAATTGATATTTCGAGACAAATTGTCGTTATGAAGCGCATGTTGCAATTTCAAATAAACCATATTCGAAAACTGACATAATATGATATGTCATTCTATTCAGAGTGTCATTTTCTGTCGAATAAAGTAACAAAATACCGAGGGTGTCATTTAAAAATCAAAAGTTGTAGTAATTTCCGGTGAAACAGGAAGTGACCGAAAACAATTGAATACGTCAATCAGTCCTAATTTATGTCATATACTGACATAATAAATTTCGTTTTCTAATCTAAAAAAATAAAAAAGTTATAAGGTTGAGCCACTTTTGAGACACCCGTTATACGTCATAATAAATATAATAAATACGTGCGAACCCCTATAAAACACACGAAATTGGGTCACGCTGTATACAATAATGTTAATCTCTAATTATTTTTATAATATTTGTCAGAGATTATATTTGAAAATTAAGGCTCTATATCAAACCAACCCGATGCAGAAGAACGCATGGTCTCCATGGAGCGATGATTTTCCCATGAAACGATCTCGAGTCTAATTGAGTTAATCAGTAGTAAAAAAGCGAGCCAGCAGCCAGCAGGCCGGCGATGCGTACCTCGGTCTCGGATTACCTGCCGGGGAAGCCCCGCAACTCTTATTATGTACACACGACCCACCCTAGGGGTGGGCTAGGGGAAGAGCGAGGGCACGTCGCACTGCATTACGTTTTGCCCCGATTCCCCCTCTGTAATCGATGATTATATTTGCGGTGAATATTAGACAGCATCGTCTATAATATACAGAGTGGAGTAGCTTATCAAGTCAATTAATATTTTTTGCCAAAGGCATTTAGGAATAATGTAAATACAATAAATACAATAGTACAGTACGTCTGCTGGATCTGTATCTATGAAAGGAATACGGACAAAAAACATTTAAATAAACAGCAATATATTTTATATGTCGACTTGACGAGTACGTCACGGCAAATCGCTCCGCCCACTCATTTTATTGGCTACTTGCAAATTTGTTGAATTTTTATTGATGGGACGCGTTGTCTAATTTTTTACGAAAAACATCGAGAGAATATCGTTTCCCCTCTCACGGATACCCCGTAGCTACAGAACGGACAGACGTACTGTATATGTATATCAAATGTATTCTTAGATCATAGGAAGATTGTGAAGATCTAAGAATGTATTCTTAGATCACAGATTCGAACACCAGAGTGTGTTACTTCACGAATTCCCAATAAATATCTGCCGTTTAAAAGTCTTAATGGATTCACACAAAGATCGTGGTCGCGATCGCGTCTGTGTTCTCCGCTCTAAGTGGGTTTCCAATTGGGATGCAGAACGACTCTGGTCTAGTTAGTGGAGTGTTCTCTCTAGGGAATCCAAGTCCCGGGACCAAAAATGCTGTCGGGACTTCGGGACCAAATATGAGGTCCCGGGACAAGTCCCGGGAGTCCCGAAACTGGTCCCGAAACTAAAATACACAGTATACTTATATAATATCGATTAGATCTGTCTTGAAAAAATAAATGAAATTAAATTAATTTAACTGAGAACTCAGGTTTATTTATATTGCTAAATGGTTAACCAACAAAAACCGAAACAAAAAAAAAACAGAAAAAAATTGATATGAACTCATACAAACATGGCAAATATAAAACTATAAAAAACTATATAAACTAAAAAAATATAAGTATACAACGAGACACATCACTTTTGTCCAAAGTAAGACTTAAGTGCCACGAGAGCATTTATGGATTTATCATCTAATCTTGAACGAAGCTTACTACAAAATCCACCGGCAACTGAAAAAGCTCTCTCCGATTGGACGCTGGTGGATGGAATGGTCAGTAAATGCTCGTAACATAGCTGCCAATATTGTCCTCGACAACCGCCATCCTCAAAAAATACCATTTCTCGTTTTATAACTTTTGATAATCGATCTGGTTTTGCAGCTAATGACGTTTGTATCATTGCTCTTGTACTTGTTAAGGCAGTAGCAGATATTGCACTTTCAATAAATCCGTCTAACCTTTTTGCCAATGGAACTTTTTCAACCTGATTACTATTACTGTTTCTTATCTCCGCCAGCGAAACTTCGTCTTCATCTGAAACAGCTTCTTGCTCTTGCACTTTGGATTGTGATAATCTTTGCACCAATTTGTCAATGAACTTTAAGAATTCTTTGGTATCTGGCTTAGACTGATTAAAATCTAAAGGATTGCTTAAACTTTCTATATATTTTAGTGTGGATTACAGAGATAACTAAGCACACTGGAGGCAAGGGTTCTTCGCTCGTTTATTCGTTGCTTCAATGCTTCCTGTAAGTTTTGGCTTACGGCGCATTGATTTTTGAAAGTTCTTCGAATATAAACTTAAAGCTAGCATCAGCAGTGTAGAGATTTGCTTCATACCTACATAGTGTCATCACAGCTAGCCTTATAGGTTCTAGGCACTTAACAATTCCGTCCAGAATTTCAAAATCGTAGTCACTGAAATTTACTAATATGGAGAGATCAATCATGGCCTTTTGTATGCAATCTTTTAGAAAAACAAACCTTTCTAGCATTCCATCAAGGCTATTCCAACGGGTTTTACAATCTAAAATAAGATTTAATTCTCGGTTGTATTTTCCGTGCACGTATTTCTGTAGAACAGTGTTTTTCGATGGAGAGCGTCGAAATAACTTTACGATTTTTCGGACTTTGTTGACTAATTCGTTTATGTTGTAGCTGTCAGTTAGGTCGTAAATGATCTCTTCATCCACAATTTCATCGTCGTCGTCGCTATAATAATTATCATCACTTGACAGGTCTTCAATGATTTTCTGATGGTTTCTTTTACAATACATTACTTCAAAAACTGCAAGGTATAATAATTTAGCGGTTTCGGGACCAAGTTGATGTCCCGGAACCATCATTGAGTCCCGGGACCACTTTTTTATGCTAAGTCCCGGGACCGTCCCGGGACTGGATACCCTAGTTCTCTCCCTTTTTAGTTAGATCTTTGCTTTTTCATTACTTTCTATCCTTTGGTGGAGTGGCATCCAGAGTAGAACGATTCTTTATCGAATTGATGGTAACTTTGGATCGCTTTTAAGGATATCAAATAAGATGACTATTTCTTGTTTCCGATTGTTCCTATCTAAGATAAGCGAATCAAAGTTAATGCGTTCCAAATTCTCGAAATAAATACATTTCTCGATTGACAACAATCGAAAAACCGCCAAAGAGAACCAGAATGAACGTGAAAAGAACTTTCGATCGAAACCAGAACAGCTCCGGAGCACTTCGAGCTGCACCGACCGACGACGACGTTTCGAATTACTCCATTTCGTATCATTTGCACCAATTGAAATCGACACCCCGTCGGTTTTCGGTTACGGAACGACGCGGTTTTCAGATATAATGCCACCGCAAAAAGAACTCTGAATTAACTCGGATAATACGTAGCGACAAAGACATTAGCGTCACTAGGAAGGGACAGAGGGGGATTTAAGCCACCAACCTGACAATAATTATTTATTATTTATACTACAGTTCAGATAAAACTTTGAACAAAAAGACTACGGAAAGAACATTATGACGGATTAGAGATGAAATCAATATAATGAACCCCCATTTTTGGACAGTTTTACTTGATGTTTCAACTGCCATATTTGAATAATATTTATTGGTCCTTTTTGAGATATTTTATTATTACCCTAAATATTAATAGCAGAGAACATTCACGTATTCGAAGTAAGAACAATCTTTGGATTCTCACGACGTTTTTATATTGTCAATCACGTCGCAAAAATAAATACTTTTGTGACGTTTGAAAAAAACTTTCCTCTACGCCTCTGAACTGCCCATCAGTACCACCCTTTCTCCAGCATCCCAAACTCAACAAATCGACTTTTAAACAAACACTTATCGGAAAAACGACTCGACTCTGTCCCTTATTCATTTCGGTATGTAAAAACTACACAGAACGAATTCCAGTATACGGCAGCGGCCTTTATAGAAAAAGGGACCCCAACAAGTGACAAGTGGTGCACACGTGTTACCACCGAATTCCGCTAAATACCGCCAGCCTGGTGGTAGTTCTGTCGGTTTTCAGTACCGAAACAAAGAGGCACTTTCAGAAAATGTGTTGTCCACTTCCTTTTCGAATCCATATATTTTCGTTAGGATATTATTGAAAAAATGAAATAATGAACGAGGGTAATATGTCGTATGATCGAAAACAAAACGGCGTCATAGATGGCTGGGGACAATCGACGATAATTTTGAAGAGGTCAATCTATGGATGTCATTTACTAAAAATTGACATTAAACCAGTCAAAAATTAACACTAGTTAGAGAGAGATTAATTGCTTGATAAATACACTTAAATTGTAAAAAAAATCTCGCAACGCAGATCTTCCACTACAAAAAATTGTGAGATGTCATCTAAAACCATAGAATTAACTATAGATATAAAACCAAGTCAGTTACTTTAGTTCAACTTCGTATCGACTGGACAGACAGTTACCATTAGCCGTTAGACTCTGGACTTTTAATAATCATTATTTCTTATTTAATGAAATGAAAGTTCTGGATATTTCATCTTCAACATTTTCATGGTCTGTGAGTGTGTCTCTACTAACAAAAATTGAAAGAAATAAGGAATTTTGATTAAAAATAATTCATAAACTATAAGGTATAATTATTAGATATACCGAGTGCGTCTCAAAAGTGGCTCACCCAGTATGACAGAAATTAGGGTTTATTGACTTATTCAATTGTTTTCGGTCACTTCCTGTTTCACCGGAAATGACTACAACTTTTGATTTTTAAATGGCACCATCGGTATTTTTTTACTTTATTCGATAGAAAATAACACTCTGAATAGAATGACATATCATATGTCAACTTTTGATATTTTCGCATAATATGGCTTATTTGTAATTATAACTTGCGGTTCGTAACGAAAATTTGACTCGAAATGCCAAGTGTGTGGTATCAAATTATTCGTAAAAAAATGCTTTTTCCAAATATGCCAATGAGCCACCCTCGTCCCAATTGAAAAAATTGAGATATGATTAAAAATAATATTTGGGCATTTTTTAACTGGCCAGGACAAGACATTAAAAACATTAGACGATCAAATCTATTTTTCCAAGGCTACTTGATTAAGAATTAGTGTTTTTAACATAGCCATGGCACTCTAGATTGAAATTTAAAATACAATTTTTTATTAAGCAAGAACGTCAAAAGTTGACATATGATACGTCATTCTATTCAGAATATCATTTTCTAACGAATGAAGTAAAAATATACCGGGGGTGCCATCAAAAAAATTTAAAAGTTGTTGTCTCTGCGTGAAACAGGAAGTGACCAAAAACAATTGAATGTGTCAATCATAATCCCCAATTTATGTTATATACTAACATACCAAATCTCGTTACTTTATCTGAAAAAATAAAAAAGTTATAGGGGTTTGGTTTGGTTTGGTTTTGGTTTGTTTTTTTTGAGACACATCCGGTATTGGCAATCTAGCCAGTTATAGTATGATCCCTTCATCACTCGATATTTTGCTTTATCCATAGCGAAGTTACGTCAAAGGTACCGTCAGTTGCTTCGAGGAAAGGATGTTACTGCTCTGCTCGACTTGGATAGATACAATTCAAACAAAAATAACTGGTCCTTACTAAAAAGAAAAGTACCGAAACAATATTATTTTAGGTTTTAAATTATATACTTCCTTCTGGTTATGTTAATAGCTGATTACTGTATAAATAGGTAGTTAGAGAAGTATACAAATATAGAAGAGAGATTTTCAGGTGGTTTATTTTTTTGGAAGTCAATAATTAGCATAGGCGTAGTCAGGTTAGAAACTCTAAGAAAAAATAAAAAAAGCGAATAATCAAAATCAAGCGAAAATGACCAGCTCGTATAGTGAAGTAGCTGTTTTTATTTAATAATTTAAAGTTCTGCAATGTAAATACATTAATAAGACTATTTAGTATCATTATGTTTTACATTTTATGGTCTAAGATACCCGAAGAAATTTTTGAGGACTTACAACCGCGATAAATCAGAGATTTTCCTTAATTTAAGTAAGAATAATCTTTGAATTCTCATGGTTTCTTTTAACAGGACACTGTATCTTCATTGAACACCTCAGTATATTGAAGCTAAGAAGCAACGGCGAATGCAGATTCTGTGGAGAAAATGGGGAAACACCAGAACACCTCATTACTGAGTGCGCAGAGACGACAACCGTTCGTGCCATAAACGTTGGTACGACTGATATCGAAGATGAAGAACTAACCTCTATAAAATTGTTTCAGATACTGTCGATACTTTTGTCAAAGCCTTGAGACTGTATGATGAGTTATAACTCAAGAAAGTGGGACACAATAGATCTATAAGGTCTATTTAAAATGCTATTATAGCATTTTAAATTTACTATGCATTTTAATAATTTTTATTAGACTGAACTAGAAAATGTTGTCATCGTTCCTGCCAGATCATATTAACGTTCGGAAACAAAATCCCGGCAGGATTTCGGAGAATCTGGACCGTCGGCATCGGCATGCCGAATTCTATTTCTAGTTGAGAGGTATCGGATGACGATATATTGTGTGTTCGCGTTTTACTAGGCCGCCATACGCCGGTCCCTGGAATCTGAGAATAGCCTCGGCTATTTTAGCTGATACCCACATAATTCGATACCGTGCCAGGCCCAACAATTTGTGCGCAGTTATTATATACCTACCAGACTTTAACAATTAGTATCTTTCGGAATGTTCACAAAAAATGGTTTAATTCGATCATAAAAAATAATAATTCAATTGATTGAATTATTATAGTGAGAACATTATACCGTATGATCAAAAAAGAACGGCGTCAAAGACGGCTGAGGAATGCCAATCGATAATAATTTTGGCTAGGTCAAATATCGAATTAAAATAAAGAACTGTTAAGAAATCGGCCTATTTAGGCTTGGTTTTCATCCCGAGAGGCTGATGGATATCGGTCCCAGTTAAGTGTTACGCCACGTAGTCTTAGCTTGCTATTTACCGGTGTCGGGTTTCACCCGGGTTGACCCGCAGGGTAATTTGAGTCCCGAGGACCGAGGAGAAGGAAAATGGAGAAAAACATATTGCGGTCTTTTCCTTCAGTTTGTTTTTGGGGGTCCGTCTTCTTCGGTTAGCTCCTGCGGTGGTCCTTGTCCTCGGAATTCGTGTGCTATTCCCTGACAGAGTAATGATAAGTGCACATGTGCAAGTGAATCCCCAATTAATGAAGTTCATCTGGACATTCGACATTCTAAAGCATAAAAGGAACAGATTTTCATCTTTAAAAAGTAGATTAACTAATGTACGGAATTGTCCTGAGCATGGGCACAGATAGATTTTCACTTAAGTTGAAGTAAAATCTTTACTAGGGGGCACCAAAAAAAAATATTTATTTTCTTTTAATTACCATGAAAATATCGTTCACGATGATGAAAAAAAAATCTAGTAAAGTTTAATATCTTAATATTAATATTAAGAGTCTCATCGTGATTTTCTTATCCCTCAAAATACATTTGCCTAATGTTTAAGTAAATTTCTTTGAATTGTGCATTGAGGTATGATGTGATTATTGCCTTGTTTGTTTTTTCTGTCAATTTATCTAATTATAGTGGATTATACGGCTCCCCTCACCTTATGATTTTAGTTTAGTTGTTTTAATTTTCAAATTGAGCTAACCATATTGTTATCTGTGATTGAACAATTATTGTGATAGAAATAACCTTTTAACCTTTTAAAAACAAATTAACTTTTTAATTTGTTTTGTGATTGCGTATTTTATAATTTTGACCTCTGTTTGACTAGCCTCTGAGCCCCTGTTGACTAGTTTCTGAGCCTGATGATGGGAATTGTTTAAGTCCCGACACATGTCGCCCCCCTGCTTTTTTTGAAGCATTTAAATTTAAATAAACATCTTAAAGATTGTGAATTATTTGTCCCCTTACCCGCCTTCAGAGGCTTTACTTTGATTATACAGGGTGTCTAAAAATTATTTTAAATAATTACTAGCTTTAAACGGCAATAAATTGTTTAATTTAAATGGAACGCCCTGTATATTTTATGAGAATCAGATGCACAATTATTTAATTGTCTATCCAATTGTATTATACCATTTTTTACCTATCTCTTCAACTTGTCGTAGAAAATGCATTTTTTTATAATTTAGACTTCATTTATTAATATACCCATGGAATATTGACATTTTAGATTATTTTTACATGATGCTATATATATTTTGGATGAAACCGGGAACTTTTGATTATATCTAATACAAAATATCTGGAGCAATTGAAAAAACCTTGTGCTCTTGAAATCTTTTCCACTGTATCTTGAATCAAAAACACGTTATTTTAGTTGATGTGTAGGTCCAGGTTGGCAGCACTGTTCTGTATATTTTCTCTTTTCATTTAAAAAGCCACAGAGCTGCGGCGAACAGGCAGCAGAAGCAGACGAGCAAACAGAGACAGAAAAAACACCTCGTCTCTCTCTCTCTTGGAAACCCTATATTGTTTGCTGGCAGCCTTGGCCCCACGGATCCGGGGGGAGTTGCTCGCTGGCGGTGTCGGGTTTCGCCAAAACAACGAAGCCTGTTCAAACACATCATCCTCCTTTCTCTCTCTCGCTCTTTCTTTCGCTCCTTTCGTTCAGAGTTTCGGTTGTCAGCGCCCCCTCCGTCATCAGGTTTGACCGACCGCAGCGCCCGTTTTAAAATAAACAAAAAAATCGTCCTTGTTTGTGGTTCGGTTCCTAATGAATGCTATTAGGAATTATTATATTATTATTATGCTATTACGAGTTATTGGTCTTGCATTTGCTTATCACTATCATTTTGGGGAACTGTAGCCTATATAATTATCTCTGTTCTCCTAATGGTACAGTCTATTAGCAAATGTCACTTACCTATCTTTGTGTTCCGCCGCTCTGTCCCTTTGTCTCCTGTTCTTGAACCAATTCGAGACTTGCGTCGTGGTCAGTCCGGTGGCTTCTGCCAATTCCCTTTTCTCCCTAGGGCTAGGGTAGGGATTGTGTGAGTACCAGTCCCTCAAAACAGTCCTTGATTTCTCCTTGAAACAGTAACTGGTCTCCTCGCCATCCCAGATCGTGCGAGGTAAAGGGAATTTTCGTCGCACCCTGTATTTACCTACTGCTCCTAACGGTCTACCTAAAGGGAATTCAAAATATGATTGTGAGAATACAAGAAATAGTGTTAAATGTTGAAAATTTTAAAAATAAAAACAATATACCGGGTGTTGCATCGTCGGACGGGACATAGGAAATCCCATGTAAATTTTAATGGGGTCAGTTATTGGCTTCCCTAATAATTTTAGAGAATACTTCTATTTAGGTTTATTGAAGAGCACTAAAACCCACATTCAAAAGAATAACTTTAGATATTTTTGATTAGCGGCGATAATTCGTCGCCGATTGTTATTAAATTTTTCTCCTTTCTTATGGCTCTGTATTTATTTATGAGCACCAGTCAAGGTAAAAGATAACTGTCAAATGAAGTTGTCATTTCAGAAATTTACCTATTTAGTGCTTTATTATTATTGAAAACTCATTCCTACATCGGAAATCTTAAAGATGTATTTATAAATACAAATTAATATGAATTAAAGTAAAATAAAGTAATCATTTACAAGGTTAATTATAGTATTATTACAATATTCAATGACTTATTAATTTAGGTACTATTAAATTGTTAGAACTTTAGGATTTAAGAAGATGTTCAAATATTCCTCCATCGACTGCTAGACAATAACCCAGGCGATCATAAAACAACTCTTACATTCGCTAGTTGATAAACTGAAATTCTATTGCATTTGGCAGAAATAGCATTTTTTAACTCGTCTAGATTTGGGTATTTTTTATCCTTGTATATCCTGTTTTTTAAATGGCCCCAGAGAAAGAAATCATTTGGCGAAATATCAGGAGACCTTGCTGGCCAATTTGCTGTATGATTTAGGCCAATAACGTTTCCGTTAAAACTATTGTCTATAAATATTCCCGAACAGCCAGGGTACTATGTGCCGGGCAGCCATCCATTTGGTACCAAACTTCCTGATTTTCCATAGCGGCATCATGTAAAGCAGGTAAAATATGATTTTTGAGTAGTTCCAAATAATATTCTGCATTTAAATTTTGCGTAAGAAATAATGGCCCGATAATACTGTGTCCGAATATCCCTGCCCAAACATTTACTTTCTGTGGATATTGCGTCCTTGTTTCGACAAACCTATGTTGGTTTTCTTTGTTCCAATATCAATAATTTTCAACATTGGGTTCATTATTTAAGGTAAACGTGCATTCGTCAGTGAAACATATGTTTTTTAAAAATTCCCTATCCGTGTTTGCTCTTTCCATCATATCAAAACAAAACGCCTGCCGCCGTATTTCGTCACCATCTCGTAGCTCTTGGTGCTTTTCCTATTTGAGGGAATAGTATATATATCGTTTCAAAATTCGAAACGCTGTAGTGTGATCTATTCCTATTTCATCCTCAAGTTTCTTTGTGCTGATCTTTCCATCATTCTCTTCCACACACAATAAAACTTCCAAGTCGGTGTCATTTCTTGCATCTTCTCTTTGCATCTTGCCTTGCTTCACATCTGCAGTTATTTATTAGGGTACCTTTGGTCTCATATCTCTGGATATTCCTTGCGATTGTAGATTTTCCAGGTATCGGTCTATTCGGATACAGAGCAGCAAACATGTCCGACACCTTTTGATAACTATTTCCTTGATAATACCATTTAATCATCAATACTTTTTCTTCGGTAGTGTAATTCATGGCTTATATTTTCGATGTAGGTATGAGTTTTTAATAATAATAATAAACCACTAAATAGATAAATTTCTGAAATGACAACTTCATTTGACAGTTATCGTTTACCTTGACTGGTGCTCATAAATAAATACAGGGCCATAAGAAAGGAGAAATATTTAAAAAGAAATCGGCGATAACTCGTAAACGGGCTAATCAAAAATATCTAAAATTATTCTTTTGAATGTGGGTTTTAGTGCTCTTCAATAAACCTAAATAGAATTATTCTCTAAAATAATTAGGGAAGTCAATAATTGACCCCATTAAAATTTACATGGGATTTCCTATGTCCCGCTCGACGATGCAACACCCAGTTATACATATATGTGAAAAACTCTATATTTTACCATAATAGATTATAAATTCCTACCTCTGCCTCTTTCTGCTTCTATGTAGTGCGCTTTCAGCCACAAGGCTTGTAGCTTGGCGTGGTTGTGATTGCTAAATTGATGGCCCTCTAAAATTTTGTACAGTTCTTTGAAGTTTCCCCGGTGAAAGGCCACTATGGCCTTGGCTTTGAGCACCGACTCGTTGTTATGCAGTTTATCACATGCCGGCAAAGACCAGAGAAATCTACCTAGTCGTTCTACGTTTCCTGCCTGTTGTAGAACCTAGAACAAAAAATAAATTTTAGCTAATAAAACAAACTGTAGAAAATATAGTCATATACAAGGTGTCCCAATATTCCGTGGATATAAAACTGTTACGTATTTTTGGAATCAAAATATTTTTTTTCTATGTGTTCATTAACTGAAGAAGTATGATATTGCGTTGAAGGTCAGAGATTAATGTGGAACATGTAGTATAATGAAATTCTGACTGTTTTTGAACAATAGTACAGTTATTAATGAACACCGTAAGGTGCCAAACACATTAAAAAGCCTTTCACCATTTATTGTTAAATAAATACACGCACAAAAGAGGCTCTAAAACTAGAGAAAGCAAATAAGAGCGTTAAAACAAAACTGCCTTTGTCTTTAAATGATTAGAGAAGTTATAGGCTTAGTTAAGTACTCTTCTGTTTGCATGGAGAAAATAATTTGTAGTTTTTATTACTTTCTAGAAACAGAAATACATAAAGTAATAAAAATAAGTAATTTTTATTGATTTATGTGACAGGATGAATCTTCAATCGTATACCTCGAGATATGTGCTTCTTGATCTTTCTATTTTGAAGTTAAACTTTCCACATCCCTGTATATAGAATTCCTATTGTTTGCTTTTGATTCTCGGCTTCCTGGGCAAACAACTGGGTACCTTTTTACATAATTTCAGTTGAAAGCGAAATGGCCTCTTACAACAAACACGACCTGAGTATTGGTGGATCGCGGTACCATGTTCAAACAAGAAAAGTACCTACTTATTTGCACAAACGGCGTTTGCAGATGAGAGACAACCCAGTGGGTTTACATATTTTCAGAGACTCATATTTCTGTTTTATTTTTCTTACATACATGCAGTTTGTTGACGGGTTTCGTTAATAATTTAAGTTAAGTCATCATAAATTCGATATGTAGATTGCAAAATAAAGCACTAGTTCACCAAAATACTATTTTAGCAAAAGCAGGGTGCACAAAAATCTTGATTTTTAAAAAAATAAAAATAAACATTTTTTTTTATTTTAATCAATTTTCTATTTAAAGTCCTATCCTAAATGGCTAAATCTTTATAAAACAGCAACATTATTTCATCAAAAGAATATATTAAAACCAAATTATAACGAGAAAACTTTCCTGGGCTGGGTCCTTTTGAACCGGATGGCATGTGTCCATCAGCAGTTCACCATTAGCCGAAGAAGTATGATTCTTTGGTTGTGGGGTATAAATTAATTATTAAATAACATTACTATCATCAAAAGAATATATTAAAACCGAATTATAACGAGAAAACTTTCCTGGACTGGGTCCTTTTGAACTGAATGGCATGTGTCCATCAGCAGTTTACCATTAGCTGAAGAAGTATGATTCTTGAGTTGGGGGTATAAATTCGTTATTAAGTAACATTATTATCATCAGAAGAATATATTAAAACCGAATTATAACGAAAAAACTTTCCTGGACTGGGTCCTTTCGAACTGGATGGCATGTGTCCATCAGCAGTTTACCATTAGCTAAAGAAGTATGATTCTTCGGTTGTGAGGTATAAATTGATAATTAAATAACATTATTATCATCAAACAAATATATTAAAACCGAATTATAACGAGAAAACTTTCCTGGACTGGGTCCTTTCGAACTGGATGGAATGTGTCCATCAGCAGCTTACCATTAGCTGAAGAAGTATGATTCTTGAGTTAGGGGGTATAAATTCATTATTAAATAATATTATTATCATCAAAAGAATATATTAAAACCGAATTATAACGAGAAAACTTTCCTGGACTGGGTTCTTTTGAACTGGATGGAATGTGTCCATCAGCAGTTTACCATTAGCTGAAGAAGTATGATTCTTGAGTTGGGGGTATAAATGCGTTATTAAATAACATTATTATCATCAAAATAATATATTAAAACCAAATTATAACGAGAAAACTTTCCTGGACTGGGTCCTTTCGAACTGGATGGAATGTGTCCATCAGCAGTTTACCATTAGCTGAAGAAGTATGATTCTTGAGTTGGGGGGTATAAATTCTTTAATAAATAACATTATTATCATCAAAAGAATATATTAAAACCAAATTATAACGAGAAAACTTTCCTGGACTGGGTCCTTTAGAACTGGATGGAATGTGTCCATCAGCAGTTTACCATTACCTGAAGAAGTATGATTCTTGAGTTGGGGGGTATAAATTCGTTAATAAATAACATTATTATCATCAAAAGAATATATTAAAACCGAATTATAACGAGAAAACTTTCCTGGACTGGGTTCTTTTGAACCGGATGGCATGTGTCCATCATTAGTTTACCATTAGCTGAAGAAGTATGATTCTTGAGTTGGGAGGTATAAATGCGTTATTAAATAACATTATTATCATAAAAAGAATATATTAAAACCAAATTATAACGAGAAAACTTTCCTGGACTGGATCCTTTCGAACTGGATGGAATGTGTCCATCAGCAGTTTACCATTAGCTGAAGAAGTATGATTCTTGAGTTGGGGGGTATAAATTCTTTAATAAATAACATTATTATCATCAAAAGAATATATTAAAACCGAATTATAACGAGAAAACTTTCCTGGACTGGGTCCTTTAGAACTGGATGGAATGTGTCCATCAGCAGTTTACCATTATCTGAAGAAGTATGATTCTTGAGTTGGGGGGTATAAATTCATTAATAAATAACATTATTATCATCAAAAGAATATATTAAAACCGAATTATAACGAAAAAACTTTCCTGTACTGGATTCTTTTAAACCGGATGGCATGTGTCCATCAGCAGTTTACCATTAGCTGAAGAAGTATGATTCTTGAGTTGGGAGGTATACATTCGTCATTAAATAACGTTATTATCATCAAAAGAATTTATTAAAACCGAATTATAACGAGAGAACTTTCCTGGACTGGGTCCTTTCGAACTGGATGGAATGTGTCCATCAACAGTTTACCATTAGCTGAAGAAGTATGATTCTTGAGTTGGGGGGTATAAATGCGTTATTAAATAACATTATTATCATCAAAAGAATATATTAAAACCAAATTATAACAAGAAAACTTTCCTGGACCGGGTCCTTTCGAACTGGATGGAATGTGTCCATCAGCAGTTTACCATTAGCTGAAGAAGTATGATTCTTGAGTTGGGGGGGTATAAATTCTTTAATAAATAACATTATTATCATCAAAAGAATATATTAAAACCGAATTATAACGAAAACTTTCCTGAAGCTGGGTTCTTTTTGAACCCCGGATGGCATGTGTCCATCATTGGTTTACCATTAGCTGAAGAAGTACTATGATTCTTGAGTTGGGAGGTACCGTACGTTATTAAATAACATTATTATCATAAAAAGAATATATTAAAACCAAATTATAACAGAAAACTTTCCTGGACTGGATCCTTTCCGAACTGGGATGGAATATTGTCCATCAGCAGTTTTACCATTAGCTGAAAAGAAGTATATGATTCTTGAGGTGGGGGTATAAATTCTTTTAATAAATAACATTATTATCATCAAAGAATATATTAAAACCGAATTATAACTGACTTTCTGGACTGGGTCCTTTAGAACTGGATGGAATGTGTCCATCAGCAGTTTACCATTATCTGAAGAAATTATGATTCTTGAGTTGGGGTATAAATTCATTAATAAATAACATTATTATCATCAAAAGAATATATTAAGAACTCCGAATTATAACGAAAAACTTTCCTGTACTGGATTCTTTTTAAACCGGATGGCATGTGTCCATCAGCAGTTTACCATTAGCTGAAGAAGTATGATTCTTGAGTTGGGAGGTATACATTCGTCATTAAATAACGTTATTATCATCAAAAAGAATTTATTAAAACCGAATTATAACAGAGAGAACTTTCCTGGACTGGATACGCTTTCGAACTGGATGAGACAATGTCCATCAACAGTTTACAAATTAGCTGAAGAAGTATGATTCTTGAGTTGGGGGAGTATAAATGCGTTATTAAATAACATTATTATCATCAAAAGAATATATTAAAACCAAATTATAACAAAGAAAACTTTCCTGGACTGGGTCCTTTCAAACTGGATGGAATGTGTCCATCAGCAGTTTACCAATAGCTGAAGAAGTATGATTATACGGCTGAGGTGTATAAATTCGTTAATAAATAACATTATTATCATCAAAAGAATATATTAAAACCAAAGTATAATGAGAAAACTTTCCTGGACTGGGTCCTTTCGAACTGGATGGAATGTGTGCATCAGCAGTTTACCATTAGCTGAAGAAGTATGATTCTTCGGTTGGGGGGTACAAATTCGTTATTAAATAATATTATTATCATCAAAAGAATATAGTAAAAGCGAATTATAACGAGAAAACTTTCCTGGACTGGGTCCTTTCGAATTGGATAGAATGTGTCCATCAGCAGTTTACCAATAGCTGAAGAAGTATGATTATACGGTTGAGGTGTATAAATTCGTTAATAAATAACATTATTATCATCAAAAGAATATATTAAAACCAAAGTATAATGAGAAAACTTTCCTGGACTGGGTCCTTTCGAACTGGATGGAATGTGTCCATCAGCAGTTTACCATTAGCTGAAGAAGTATAATTCTTCGGTTGAGGGGTACAAATTCATTATTAAATAACATTATTATCATCAAAAGAATATATTAAAAGCGAATTATAACGAGAAAACTTTCCTGGACTGGGTCCTTTCAAACTGGATGGAATGTGTCCATCAGCAGTTTACCAATAGCTGAAGAAGTATGATTATACGGCTGAGGTGTATAAATTCGTTAATAAATAACATTATTATCATCAAAAGAATATATTAAAACCAAAGTATAATGAGAAAACTTTCCTGGACTGGGTCCTTTCGAACTGGATGGAATGTGTGCATCAGCAGTTTACCATTAGCTGAAGAAGTATGATTCTTCGGTTGGGGGGTACAAATTCGTTATTAAATAATATTATTATCATCAAAAGAATATAGTAAAAGCGAATTATAACGAGAAAACTTTC